GGTTCAACAATGCTGTTTTTACAAATTTTTAAAATTAAAGAGGGAATGCCATTCCATCCTGAGGATCTGGAATTTTTCAATTCACTAATTATGGACCTAATCTCACTTGATGTAGTTAATTTAAAACAATCTAAGAAGTCAGTACAATTTGTACCAGCATTAGTTAAATATTTATTCACTTTATCCATATTTCCCATTAGATTAAGCTGTTCACTGGTGTGCAAGAAAAAATCATTAAAAAGGTCTGCAATTACTTTTGGGTCTTTTATTATTTTATTTGATTTCTGGATTCCGTTTAAATTAAAATTAAAATCCTGCTTCCTGTTACCAGTTTCCTCCTTGACAATTGACCAAGCAACTGTAGTTTTGTTCTCTGCACAACTAATTCTTTTATTATTAAACTTCATTTTAGCACACTGTACAACCTTTTTTTAAATTAGTTTATAAGATCTAACATATTGCATAAAGTTGACATCATTTGATAATTTGCTCAACTTATGTAGTTCTCTCTTTTTCCTACTTGCTATTATAATGCCTTTTGTTAGCCAGCTTTTTGTTGTTATCTCCTTGCTCTTTGTCTTTACCAAGGGAAATGCCAATTCATAATGATACATGAATATACAGTACCAAGAAAATGTTTATAAGCAGTGTTAGGATCAGAGATTTTAGCGCAGTATAAAGAATCCCAATTTTCATTACTGATTGAATCTTGAAATTTTAACATGTTTTCTTTCTTAAAACATCGCTTTTTGGTTTCAGTTTTTTTTTTATTTACTTTATAATTAATATTAGTTGATAAAATCTGATAAGTGTGGTCAGAGATGTCAGTATCTACAACTAAAGTTTGACAACTGTCTAAAGCTACATTAGTAAACACGTTATCTATACAGGTTTTAGAAACATTAGTAATCCTAGTGGGTTGTAAAATAATAGCAAACATGCTGTAAGATTCCATCAGGGATTTGAAATGCACTGTGTGAGGTTCTTTTTTGAACAAATCAAAATTAAAATATCCACATAAAAATATACTGTAGCCTACTTAGAATATTTTTTAACAATATGAGAAAGCAAAGAATTTAGAATATTAAAAGAATTTCTTTAAAGTTGTTGTATCATTGTGTGGTGGTCTGTATATACACACTACCAAGACAGGTTTAGCTAGTGAGGCTTCAACTGCACAACACTCCAAAACAGATTGTATGGAAAATTTGCAAATGTCATGTTTTTCTATGGCTTCAATTGTGCTGTATGCTGTACATATGATAATAACCCCTACAAATAAGTGACTGGAGATCATTTTTTACATGCACAACTGAAACAAAAACATACAAACTACAAACAGTCATGATTTCCTCATTTACAAAGAGATGTCTGAAAGGGGCATCATACTCAGGTTTTCTAGGATTCTTACAGCTCTTTTTTTATTAGCAGTACATCATTAGTTTCAGCAGACCCACCCCAGAGTCTGAGCCCATACAAAAGAACTCCTTGAAAAAAAGCTACATAGGCTTTTTTTAGACAGTTTTTATTTAGACAACTTTTTAGACTTCTCAAGAGGAAGATAACTCTGGAAATTTTACTGCAAACCAAGGTTATATGAGGGCTCCAAGTCAGTTTTGTATCAATGCAAATACCCAAGAGCTTAACAGAGGTCACATGCTGAACATCTGCTAGATAACTCTAAATTTAAACACAGAATTCTGACTGTAAATTTTAAATCTCGGTTTTTGTGTCTACTTTAGTTCTTGTCCTGTGACACTGACCGCTACATGAGAAGATCGTTTTATTTGGCTAAATGAAGGCGTAAACAGTAAAATAATAATAAACAAATTGTAAACAAAACATGACCTCTATAATCTACATTGCACCGTACAGAAATAAAACTACAATAATTTGGGCTTAAGCTGTTCCATAAGTATGACAAATCTACTAAATATGTTTTGATCATAAATCAAACATTAAGCCCCTTGGAAGATTTGTCATCCTTGTTGAAAAGCTGAAGGCAATTTTATTGATATTCTATGCCGACTGTAGAGGTTGTGTTTTTTTTACAATATGTTTCTTGATTGTTATTTCAGTTATTTAAAACTAATTTGACCAAATAAAACTATCTAATCATAAAAAATAACTGGTCTCCTAGTTATCTAACCAAACCGTAAAGCACAAATCTTAAAATTAATTACCCTAATATAATAGAAACAATATTTCGTTTACACTAGCGATCAGTGTCGACATACATGAACTAGACACGAAAAACAAGCTTCAAAATCAACAATGGGATGAGAAGTCTACTTATGTTGCATAGTCTACGGTTTTATCTATGAAAAAGTATTTTTACACCGGTATTACACAATATTACAAAATAAATATTATACAATAGTTATCATGCATAGCATAAATAAGCAACACGAGCAACATCAAGCTTATGATAATATATTTCAGCTTACGTAATTAAAGTAAAACAGCAGATACAAAAAGTTATTCTATTATTCAACAAAAAACCATTTCATATATAGGCTACATCTATTACATATGTCGTCCAGGAGTAGAAAAAAATTGAAATACTTTTGGTTTTGCTACGTTGGCTGCACTTAACGCAACTTCTTATTGCCGAGTAGCGGCTGCTAGTCCATACGATAATTTGAGGACCATTGCACGATAATTTTTTTGTCTACTCAGGATCGATCAGCTGTCCCATCCGCTATGACGTAATTCCCGCGCGTTATAAGCTATAGAACAAATGAGATATTATAAGCTGCAGCACATTTGAGCTATACCATTATAAGTTATGCCACATTTTAAGAAAACCGTTATAAGCTATGCCACATTTCTACGATTATAAGCTATGGAACAATTTAAATTTTCCATTATAAGCTATGCCACATTTTCAAGATTATAAGCTATGCAACATATTCGCAATTATAAGCTATGACATTATAAGCTATGGCATCGTACCGAGGAGAGAACAGAGACAAGAGACAAGAATGAAAATGAAATGAAATACTACAGTTCGATAATAAAAATTGACTATTGAGGTTATTCCAACAAAGTATGACAACAACAAACTCCACAGTCCACAGGCCACAACACAAGAACACAGTTTAGTTTAGTTAGTTAGGTTCAATCGGTTCATTGGTTTTGTCTCAGAGCTTTGTGTTGTGCCCATATGATCGGTTGGTTGGACTTCCGGACTTGTCAAATTACAGGCAAGATCAAGATGGCGGCACAATTTGTTTTTCAGGATTAATTTTGCCAACAGTGTCATTTACACTGAGCTATAATAATATAACGTCATTTAGAGGCTTCTGATTGACTATAACGAAGGTTTAGTAATTGAAAAATTATTTTTGTTCATAGAATAAAATTATAATTGCCTCAAATTCAATTTTATATTTTTTTATTATGAAATTAAACCGTCATAACCTAACCTAACCAACCAAACGTGCTGACAATGAAAAAATCTAATAAAGGTTTATTAATGGAAAAAATAGTTCTGTTTATAAAATAAAACTATAAATGCCTCAAATCCTATTTTATAATTTTTTTATTCTAAAATTAAACTATCATAACCTAACCAAACTAACCAGACTTGCTTATAATGAAAAATCAAATGAAGGTTTAACCGAAAAAAATATTTCTGTTCATAAAATAAAACTATAAATGGGTCAAACTCAATTTCATAATGTTTTAATTATAAAATTAAACCGTCATAACCTAACCAAACCAACCAAACTTGTTGATAATGAAAAAAATCCAATACAAAAAAATAGTGCTACAGGTTTCGAACCCGGGTCCTTATTCGGATCATCAGCCCAGCACTCTATCCACTACACCACCGAGGCCGATGGCATCAACCGTATCGTCGCGGTAATGATGTCCCCTCAGCCAATCAGAAGCCTCAAAATAATACTGTAGGCAACACTTATCCTGAAATAAAAACTCAGCAAGATGGCGTCATCCTGTTGTTTTGTTGATAGTAAACAAAAATATGCAACATTATGATTGCAATATAAGTTTATTTATCTATTTTACGAGCAACCCATTTTAACAAGATCATAAACCGATGGTCGTTCTTTAATCAAATACCATGCCATAGGGCTAAACCTAAGACTAAACCAATGTCTCCAAACCAGGAAACTTGAGATATGATGTCGCCGATATTTCTGATGTCGCGGGCATGATGTCTGCGACATGTAATAAAATGCTACCATATGGGAGAAGAGGCACGTGCTGGCAACATGAGAAGGAATCAGTTCAGTTTTTCATCAGTTTTCAATAATGTCATCGTCAGAAGAAGATGGTGTGTTGTTGCTGTTGTTGTTAAGAGTCTTCTTCACCCCTGTGAAAACAATAAAAACATGCCTTGAACGTCCCTCGCTCCGGTTGGACGAGAATGTCTTTCCAAACATCGACCGGTTGGTTCGCTCGAGACACTGCGACTGTGTATAGCTCCATAAGTTAACATTGTGTAGGTTGGTTTTCAGGGGGCATGTCGTAGGCATGAAAAATATCTGCGACATTATGTCTGCGATAGGTACCGGTGTGTAACCCGCCTTAATAGCTTCAAAAAAGATGTAAATAAGTTAGTATTTATTTACCATAAAAAAAATTTATAATGTTTAAAAATAACTTTAAATACACAGGGTTTAACGTGCAATAACTTAAATAAGTGTTTGATACAAGTCCTTGAAATAACGGATAACCCCAATAGTATGAATGGTTAGGTTAGAATGAATTGGAAGTTGACGTTGACAGCATCCCAGTCATCCCACCAACCAATCATACAGTCAACCTAACAACACGAAACACCGAAAAAAACCAGCAAAAATAGAAAAACACTAAACAGTGACAGTGGCACGTTTTTCTCAGAGTAGTGACTCCAGCTATAATCTATTTATCCCAATGAATAAAACCGGGAAAACAGCTGCAATTTATTTTTACATCCCATCCCAATAAAAAAAGTCAATCGAAACCGAAACCCATGTATGTCTCCTCCTCACTCAGCTCAACCTAACCTAAATTGACATTTATATTTATTTGAGTAGACTTCAAACATAATAATATAGGACTAAGTAATAACTAAACTAGCCCTAGAAGACATTTAAAATAGTGTAGTGTGTCGTCAAAACCTAATATAATTTCAATTTCAGTCATGGCAGAGGGTTTTAGTGATTTGAGACAATTATTACGTATCAAACAGAAATGCTCAGAAGTTGACCACGAATTTCCAGACAAAAGGTAGGAATAGGATATTCACCCCATTTTTATACCCAACTTGTTTTATAAAAATCAAAATCAAGGGAAGACCGAGGGTACAGTTTGCTATGCTAATATCGGATTCGATTAGCAAACCTTACTTAGATTTTACTATCAGCAAGTTTGGTTAGTTAGGTTAGGTTATGACAGTTCATTTTTATAATTGATATAGTTAAAAATATTGATTGTTAAACTATATTTTCGGCAATTCATGAGATAAGTTTCTTAAAAGGAAAATCACTCGATTGAGCTTAGCACAGAGGGTGTCAATGTGGTCACTCCTCACAAGCTCAGAATCCAGGGCGAAACCCAGAAGCTTTACAGGATCATCACTGCTGGCAACATTTTTGTTAAGACTAAACATGATGTCCTGAGTCTTATCTTTGTTTAAGGCTAATCTGTCTAATGACAGAATTGATAGGCTACTTTTTGTGATTTGATTCAACTTAACTTTTGTTTTGGTTTGTCTGGTTTAGATTTCTCCTCAAATGTTATTCATTTTTATAACTTAATAGTATTTTTTATACCTAGGTATGCAGCAGTACCTGTTTATTATTCACATCATCGTACTATTGAAGAGGAAATATCTGTTTTAAATCTTTTAAAAGAGGGAATTCAACAGAAAAGATTATTTGATGACGTCCAATGCACAAAAATTGAAGCAAAGATAGATCGAGTTGTAGAAAGAGCCGATAAGGGAAAGTATAAACCTTGCACTGTTGATCGTGCTCCGCTGCGTAACAAGTAAGTGTAGGCCTAAAATATTTTGCTGTGAATCCGCTCAGGGTGGCATAGTTAGGCCTATTTAGCCTAATTAAGTATATTATTATATTACAGTGTAACTTATAAAAACAAGAGTTTTGAAAGCATCACACGATCCTTTCCTAGAGAGATTGTCTGGTAATTATTTACTATTTGGTGCCTACAAACAAATTTTTGATTTTCCAACCACAGTTCATTCCACTTGCAAATGTCATCCGTCCGACATTGTTTATTGTAATATGTTGATATTTTGAGTAGGTAATATTTATCAGCGGTGAAAAATAATGGTATATTTGGATTCAGGAGTTAAACAACTACCAAAACAAAGTAAGATATAAAATTAAAAATTCCTTTGGAGGCACCTACAGTAAATAAATACCATTGTCAACATTGCTTAGTTGTAGCCTAATGATTTTGTTTATGTAAGTTATTTAATAAAATCTGCTTCTGTTCTTAAGGTATTTCTTCGGCGAGGGTTACACATATGGATCCCAGCTGGCTCGAAAGGGACCTGGTATGGAGCGCTTGTACAGGCAAGGCGACGTAGACCCGATACCAACCTGGGTAACCCGTTTGGTAATTAACCCGCTCGTTCGCACGGGCCTGATCCCTGAGGGGTTTGTCAACTCTGCTGTCATCAATGACTATCGACCCGGTGGATGTATTGTCTCTCACATTGACCCAATTCACATTTTCGACAGGTAAGAGCTTTTGAATCTTTTAAATTGGACATTCATGTGGTAGTAAAACGTTTTATATAGTATTTTAATTACCAATGGCATAGAATAAACTAAGTAGTCAGCCCAGGTTGTACATCTTCAATTGTATAGCCTAATGATGTGAATACAAAACAGGTTCTGCTGCAACATTTTCATTCATGGAGTAAAACAGTTTGATGTCTATGAATATTAATATTATGACATTATAATTCTACAACATCCAGAATAATAAATTGAACTTTACAATATTAGTCGACAGTTATGTACAGTTTATGTTCAGTATTAAAATTCACCTTTACATTGTACAAATATATACGTAGTAGGTATATAATACCTACTTAGTATTAAGCAGCGTTTTACATTGTTAAATTTAATGTTAGTATATTTTTATACTAAAATGCTATGGAAGGAAGGGAAACAGGTCCATGACATAGGAAGAGGTGAAGGAAACTTTCAAGGCGAGCAGTGCAGAGTGTTGGAACCCTTTTTGGCAGTTAAATAAATGTATCTGTAATACTAAAATGCTATGAGAAGAGAGGGTAACAGGCCCACGACATAGGTAGTGGCGAAGGAAGTGGTAAAGGTAAGCAATTTGTAGTGTGGGAACCGCGTACGGCATTTTGATACATTATTTAAATATACTTATATTGGATTGTTAATCATTTTTAGGTGATATAATAGGTCTATTGTTTCTATGTGTTATATATCGTAATTTTATGCCATACAATCATTCTAAGAACTGGACTCCTTACACTTTGCTGCGTCAATTAGGCTATGTTAGATTAATAAGGTTTAAATTACCAGGCTTCTGCCTCCGATCCTCGGTAGTTTTATGAAACTACAGCTGTTTCATGCCTATTACTGGCACATCTTCAGGTTTGTTAAACGCCAGCTTCTTTATAAAACATCCCTCGGTGTTGAGTTCGTCATGGTTATACATAAAACATGTAGACATTTACACACACGAAAACACGCACGAAACATTTAAACATTAATTAAAGAACGACTGCGAAACGTGATGCGGCGCCGGTGATGGATAAGTCGCGACTGTCACGTGTCGGCAGCGTTGACCCCTACCCCTGTTCTATGTTAGATTAGTTCAGTCTGTCTTTGTTTTGTTTATGGGCCTAACAAGAAATAAGGAAATATATCTAAAACAAACATTAATTGGTTAAACTGTTGTGTATAATTTTAAAGAGATGAATTTACAAAAGACGTTTTGTACTGAAGCGTGTTACTATAGTTTTATAGCAACGGTACTGGACTCATAAGGATCGTTAAGGCTCAATATAATCAATCTAGTGTTTCTAGCGACATTCTGAGTTGAATAATAAAGATCTAAAATTAATTACTGAGCCAAACCACATCCATATCACAGCCATTTTGATGATCTAATAATTTCTAATACTTCTAATTAAATATAATAAGGAAAAGAACATTGAAAACTTCCACTCGTACCTTAAGGGTACGAGTGTGCTCAAGGTATAATTTACATATTAAGCTGAAATAAAATTATAGTTCCCTAACCCCTTAATCCCCCCCCTTTACTGAAAAGTTAAAACATATTCATAAACATATTATACTAAGGAAAACTTATCAATTCGGCGATTCCAGCCTTGACCATCGAAGTTCGTCCGCTCGCCCTGATATCCGCCGCACGACTCCGACGCCCTCCCCGCGCTTCATAACCCCCCCCCCTAGTTCTCCAGCGATCAGCTGATTTACCCTGACGCGTCTTCGCTGTGACGCAAGCGTCACAACCTCCCCGACTTAAAAGAAAAAAATATTTTGGTATGGTAGGAAGGTAAGGTTTTGGGTACAATCCCTGTGTTTGCGCGGGACTTGGGTACTTGTGACAGTGGTGGTGCCGCTTGATTTCGCGTTTCCCATCGCGGCGCGTCTCGGCGTGGCTCCCTGGTGCCATCGGCAATCCAGTGGCGGGCCAGCGCGACGGTCACCACTGTACTTCTGAGGCTTAGGTGCTTTTCGCATGTTTGGTGTGTTGTTTCTTCCATATTGATTAACTATTTGTGCTTTGATAATGCGTTTCTGGTTGGTGGGAGAGAGAGAAAAAAAAATATCCGTCTTTAACTAAACTATTGAACTATTAATTGATCTGTTTTTGAAGAATTTGCTTGAACTTGTTGATGGCCCTAACTTACACTAATTAAAACTAAGCTAAAGGTTCTGGCGGTAGTATATCGGTAATATTTTATTTTATTTTTTATTTAAAAAAAAATTTTTTTTTGCTGATTTAGCATATTGTTGACGTTCGGACTTGCTTGACGTTGTATTCTGACGATCTCGCCATGACATTTGGAATTATATATTTCTTGAAGACGTGTTGCCCTTACTACATTCAGGGCTGTAAATGAAGCTTTCAAATTAGAATTTCTTCTTGGAGATCTGTGCGAATTGAAGTTGCTGTTATTGAGATAGATGAATGGTCGATGCAGATGTTGCAGATTGTTGATGTATGACTATTGAAGAGGTGATGATCTTGGTGATGGTGATTCAATAATGCTGCGATGATTTTTATTATTCATAATGATGACGATGTTCTGATCGGATGTCGAGATTACTCAGTCGCATGACGAAGGTCTTCAGCTTTATTATTGTAGATGTTGATGATGAATGCAGTATTTGTTCAACTTGTTTAAAATGTGTTGTCTAATCTTGAATAATCATTTTATGTTGGTAGAGGTAAGGTTTGTAGAAAATTGTCATTTATCTTCCTCTATATGTAGGTTAGATTTCATTCTGTCGTATATATTTTATATATATTTCTTTTTTTTTTTATTACCGATATATGCCTTAATAATTCGCAAATAAAATTTCGCGGACTACCCTTAAACTACCTAGTTTTTAAACTGTGAATTGATGAATGAGAAAATTTATGGTATTAAAAAATGACATTAAAATGCACTTGCAATATGAAATTGAAATATGGATGGAAAAATACTAACTTATGAAATAAAACTAACTTAATGACTGCTTGGCTTATAATCTAAGGGGTTGTTTTGATTTGTTTGACAAACATTATCAAGCTTGTCTTTATTCAACACTTTTCTTTTTTTTTACTAAAATAAAATGATTTGGATGGAAGACATGTGTCGCGCCTATTGGTATCGCTGTTTGGTGTAGGTTGACCGTGCACCTTTTTAGCCATACGGAATACATTCATTCTTCTGTCCTAGCGCGATACCCAAGTCTATTTGCTCTAAAAAAAATTCAATGAGAAGGGTAGGAGGGTTAGGGTGGGATTATTGTTTACTGATTTATTTTACTATATCATTTTCCCATAACTATGAACTTCTAAATATGATTTTTTGTACTTTTTTCCCTTTTTAAATAAAATTTGAGCGTCATGCTACACTCTCAAAAGAATTCCACTATATCCTCGGACGATATAATACGCCCTAAATTTCTCGTTATCTCGGTCCGTTGCCTGCTGGTGAGATAAGAATCCCGTTTGACGTTTGGCCTTGACCGATACTTTGTTTACCTTTATTGTCTCTACTCTACATCCTACTTAATTGTACTTCCTTACTAATGATCTTTTATTACTACCCTTAATTTTAATTACCTGTTTCTCCGTAACACTATTTAACTATTTTACACTTTTTTAATTTTCCCTTAACTTATAACTAGCACAGTAAATAGACAGATATAAATAGATAGATAGAAAATAGAATAGTATAAAGAGATAGATCCGTGTATGTTTATGTGTTTGTGAGAGAGTGTGAATTAGTGTATTTAATGTTTCCTTGTCCATCTTGCCTACGTTTGTGGCCACAATCCGTAGGAAAGACTATCTCTGCTAATTCTTTGTGAGCGATATAACCAAGGGTTATTTATTACATAAAAAATAATATAATAAAATGATATTATAAATTCCCTGGGTTATATCTGTATAGTAGTAAAATAAAAAATATTGAATAAAATATATTCTCACTCCAAATAAAGCAGATGTTGGGAGGAACATTTAGTGTGATATGTTTTGGATCAAGTCACCCCCGGTCGCTTTCACTTTCGCTCATAGATGTGCCCTCAGAAAAGACACATCTTAGACTTGAGTTTGAGATCAGCTAACCGGAAGTGTATTGGTCCATGTGTTGAAGGCATGTAAGAAGGGGGAGAAAATGAAAATGAATATTATCTACTCTATGCTACGTTGCTTAAGTTAAGGATGTTGGCTTGGCTCAGTACTTAATTATTCTACGTAATTGCTTTATTTTATTGTTGGCATAAAAAATCTCTTAATTAACACAATATACCCATTTTATACAAATAGTAACAATCGCAATGCTCGTTAAAATTTAATGCCTTTCTTATCTACCCTATATATGTATATTTTTTTTTTCTAACTTATTTACATTTTTTTTTTTTTTTTTTTATTAATCTTCGTGCTAAATTCTTTAGACTTATGCCACTTCAGACTGAAACATGAACTAGGTCTACTCTAAAGGCATCGATTCACTTTATTTTAACATTTATTTCAACTAGCATTGCAATTATTCACCCAAACAAAACCTGTAAAACATTATTGAAATACACTCCAATTTATATTATTTCTGACGTACGTGCCCCCGATCACAAAACACCAAATTCATTTACCCTAATTTTTTTTAAATTTAGCAAACATTTGAAATTGAAAATTTTATTTTAATTCATTGCTGCAATTATTTACTAAGTTCCATTTTGGATTAATTGTAACTTGTAACTTGTAACTAAATCTGAATTTCAACTCCACCACGTGTTTGCTGATCACGATTTTACTGGTCGAATTCCGGCGTGTTGTCGCGTGTTGCCGGCTCACGTGTTCCTACGTTTTGAACTGGCTGTGATATAGATGCGGTTTTATGTTGCTCTGCTATCATTATTGAAGCGTGTTACTATAGTTTTATAGCAACGGTACTGGACTCATAAGGATCGTTAAGGCTCAATATAATCAATCTAGTGTTTCTAGCGACATTCTGAGT